GGTTATTTCTGCACAGGGCAGAGGTTCCTGGTAGTTGTACATCTGCCTAAAGATGTCTTCAGAAATTTTAAAGATGTCCCCAGATTACTGGAGTTGGAATTAGGCTTTTGTTTGTGAGGTTGTTTTTTTTTTCTGCAGAGAAATAATATTCAATATTGAATAATATTCAATAATTTAGTGTTTTCAGAGGCCCATTTACCTTTTCCTTTCCAAGATTTTGCAAAACCAACCTTTGGATAGAGATCTCTAATCTTGCATGCAGATGAAGGGATGCTGCTCTGGAGGGCGTCCAGGAGTATCTGCAGACCCCACTCCTCATCTGTGTGCAGAATGAGTTTCTGTTTCTCTACTACTCATCTGACACCATGGACCACTTTCCCTAAATTAAAGTATGTAATTACTCTGTAATATTTCAGGTTTCTAAAAAAGTCTGGGTGCAGGTGTATTCCTGAACTTCTAAAGGGAACCTGCAGTGTTGATGGGATAAGCCCATTGCAGACATCCAAATGCTTGGAGCAAATGTCCAGTCCTCAAGCAGCAAAACAAGCACTGAGCTGGTAAAATGAAAAAGCTCTCATAAGCAAACATGGTGTGTTCTAAATTGAAATTTTCAGAAGAAAAACATATTTTTCCATAGTCATGTTTCAAAACCTAATGATTTCTGTTTCTGCTTGACATTCAGACTTAAATGTCCTCTAAGCCTTTCTTGTAGATGAGGTGACATTAGCCTTCTTCCAGTCCTCTGGGATGTCCTAAAATCTCCATAACTGGTCAAAGGTTATGGAGAGCAGCCTCTCAATGACATCAGCCAGCTCTCCTAACATCCTTGGTAGATTATGTGAGGGCCCATACATTTTTACAGTGCTGGTAGACAGAGAAAATTCTGGTAAAACATTTCAAATGTTTTGTTTCTGTCAATAATATCTTCCCCCCGCCCCTGCCTTTTCATATCAGAAAGAGTTTGGAATTGGTTGTAGTATGAAATAGTATAATATTTTGACCTTTCATCCCTATTTGGGATGCAGGCAAATGCTGAAATCCCAGCCCTTCTTGGGGAACAGAGATTCCATTCTCTGACCAGATCCACAAAAGTATATTTCCACTGGTTTTGCTGGCTGGCTACTTCAATACTTTGTCTGTGATGACTTGTAATTCACTGCAGATTGAATCTGTGGTGTGTCCACATGGCTGGTCTGGAGAGGCTGAGGGCAGTTAATCTTTCTTGCTCTGTGTTGTGCTTTCAAATTAATATCCAGATTTCTTTCCGAAGATAAATTTTCCTTCCAAACCAGCATTTGGTAGTGCACTGCACAGCTGCCTGATACATGTTCCATGCACAAATGAGGATTCTGGTGCTCTTTCAGTCTAGCTACAGGCTGCTATATGAAATCAGGATGTTTTAAAATTTGAGACAGCTTCTTGGTCGTCTATTGTTTGCAATCTCACAGACTGCCATATATCTTTCTCCTCAGAAGTTACTTTTTCCCCTTCCCACCATTGCGGGGAGCTTTTTCCTGCCGGGCTCTGTGCAGTGTGTCTCTGAAGCAGTTTTATGGTGTTCCCCAGAAGCATGCTTTTGTCAGGCTGCCTCAAAGAGTAATCCAGGGAAAAGTCTCTGAAGCAAGAAACATCCTTTTCTGTCTGGCTTTGAGGTGTTATCTCCCCTCTTCCAAAATGCAGTTGGCTCCCTCTACAACCCTAAGCTGTTTTGTTTGGAGCGAAGAGAGCTCAGAAAATCAAGGGAGGCCACACACATAAACAACTGTGTGTGAAATCAATTAATCTAAATGAGCAGGAGACATATTCTTGAAGGAGAAAAGACTGGTTCTCACAGAAACCTCCCTTGTGTATGGCACTGGCGGGACTGTTACAAACATTACATCACTGGAACAGTGATGAGCTAGGTGAGTATTTTAAACTTTTTGGCTAGTATTGGCCAATATTTAGAGGAAGACTGGCGTTTGATTGTGTTGGAAGAGCATTCCACACTCTTTGTGACTATTTTAACAAGTGATTTTTATTACAGAAATGCTCACCGATACAGTGGTAGCGGGCTAAAGCGAGCACTGTTGAAGGGACCTGAATTTTGGCATCTTAGCTTCAAATATTTGCGTGATAAATTTGGTTCCAGGCATGGCACTCACCCAGTCAGGGATAAGAAGCTATGCCTGTCATTCTTAAGTGTTTGAGTAATAGATACTGTCAGCATTACGTACACAAGCAACCTATAGGATAGGAATTACTTGCAGGAGTTTTTGTAAACAATTTTATACCTCAAATTAGGGAAAAATCTTGTATTGCTTTTTATAACAATCTGATAAGAAAAAGAGGTTTTCTCAAGTTGTTTGTTATGGACTGTTATTTGTCTCTGCTGTTACAGGACTGTGAAACGGGATACTGATGTCCAGGGATTTCTAAACCTGGTTAGCTCTTGGTCACACAGAGCAGCAGTGCCCAACTCTCCCACAGGAGGAGGGTTACTCATGTCTCAGCACGCTGTGGTCCTCTGCTTTACAGTGCCCAAGGGTCAGTAATTACAATCATATCCCAGTTTCACTCTGCACCTCTTTAAATAATGGTCTCCTCTTGGCCAGGGCAGCGAGAACACGAGCGAAAAGCTGTGCTTGGCTCTCTTGGCTGAGGGAAGGGCATGGAAATGAGGCCTTGAGAGAGCACTCTTCATGGGAAAGGAGCAAAAGACTGGGTAATCTAGGAGACAGCTACTCCACTCAACCTCTTAAATTGTCAAGGAGAGGAAGGAGCAGTGCAACTCTGAGAAATCAAAAGTCTCTGTGCTCGTGGTGTTACTCAGAGAATAAAGTCTTATCATGGCCACGAACCTTCTCTGGCGCTACATTAACTCCCATTTGGGAGTGGGGAAAATGGTAAGAGAAATTGTTTTGTGTTTTGCACTGAGGGCTCCTTAATGAATCACACTCTGCTTAGGCCAGCTCTGAGCTGAAAGTTCATCCTGTAGAGCAAGAAGTTCCCAAAGACTTGACCTAAAACCAGCCGTGTTAGGGAAAGCAGGCTGGGGGTCTTGATGGGTTACTCCTGTTCATGCAACCTCGTTGTTATGTTTTTCTGTGATTTCTTGATTCATTTCTGGTATAGAATGGATTTTTTTACTGATTTGAGAAGAAAAGGAAGTCTTTTACAACTAAGACTTCAGCGTGTAAGTTTTTTTAGTTGAGGCCAGGAGATTGCGCAGCATGGAAGCCAAGAAGATGCCTTGTGTTCCTGTGTGGCAGCTGAGAGCCCTTCTGAGGAAGGCAGAAAGCCCTCTCTGTGGCTTTCTGGGGGAAGAGATTCATCACCCCATACAACCAGCTGGTACCAAAACCCTGGCCGGTGGATGCTTCTGAGTAGCCACTACCTTTTGTCGTTTTTATCACAATAATTTGGCTTATTTGCTCTCTGATTTGATGAGGCTGAGAAGAGATCTCAGGACATCCCAGGCCCTCAGGGCAAAACCTCGGCTTCCTAGAGCTGTGTTCATTTTCCAACCCTCCCACAGCCCTGGGGTGACCCACCCCGGAGTCATGTCTCAGGGGAGGTGTCTGCTGGAATACACCAAGTCATTTGCAAGTTAGCTGCCTACACACTGCTGAAAATCACCTCCCTTGGGCACTTTTCTAGATCCCAAATCTTTGGGCACCCAAATATCACCGTTCAAGTGGCTTATTTTCCTCTAGTCTCACACCTGTGAAAGGAGAGTCCCAGCATGTTCATACATCCACGATGCTTGTGTGGTGCTTACACCATTTTCTCTCACAAGCCTTTGGAGAAAGGGTAGATACTGATCTCACCTGCTACATTCTCCTCTGGCACTGTGATGGAAATACAAAGAACACTCAACCACACAAATAAATTAAACTGCTAATTTCCAGGACCTAATTACAAGTCTTGGGTTTGCCGCCTGGCCTGAAAATAAAACTCCTCTTGCGAAGTTTCCTTGTTTGGGGGCTTGGTTTGTTTGTTTGTGTTCTTTTAAACAAAGCAAGTAAACAGGAGCCACTCTGCTGAGTAGGAGAGGATGGTTTGCCTGGTTTGTTTTCCTGTATTCCTCTTTGGGTTCTGCTCAGCCAGTTGTGCCCCACACTGAGCTTTGGGAGGGGCATACAGTGCTAAATATATCTGCACTGCCGGTGAAATGCAGTATGGGGTGCTGCGTCATTTGGTGGAGTTTACTTGGAAACTGATGTGGGAAGCCAGCTTTTATTTTCAGCCTTGGGTCAGATGCGTTGGTCAGTTGTCTCACCCAGATTTTTGGTCTCGATCAGGAGTTTGTCCTTGAGAGACAGACATAAAACCTACTCTCTAAATAAAAAGCCAAACTAATTGCAGCAACAAAATCACAGTGGGGCAACCGTACTTTTCTTGTTCAGCAACCAGATTTACAGTCTGAGAGCTTCTTCGGATGGGTTACCTTTAAAACAGAAAAAAAAGTCATAGCTCAAATATCATGGCTTAATGAGTAGAGGAGCTGGTGTGATGCTGTGAGCTCTAAATATATCAGAAAGAACTCCAGCACTGGCAGCACACTGACAACTGGAGTCCTCGGGCTTTCACTTACGTTGGAACAGAAATGTATACCTCCAAGAAATGTGTGAGGAACAGATGCAACTTGGTGACTAAAAGAGGACTTTGGTTTTGCAATTTCTAGTTCAGCTTTTTGGCTTGTCTTCCTCTGCTGTTTCTGCTAGTGCAGTGGGAGTGATTCCATGGGAAAGGAAGGTATTCCCACGGCGTGGAAATGCTGAAGGGTGGACACAGCTCAAGGCAGCCCACCTGAGCCCCCTCTAGTCTCTGCCACACACAAGCAGCAGCAGCAGGGCAAGTGTGGCCATGTTGGTTACACAAACCTGCTGGGGATCCTCCAGGACTTAATCAGGCAAAGGAGTGGGTGGAAACCCTTGCTCTTTCTCCATGAGCTATCCAGGATCTCCTGCCTGCACATCTAACATACTGCAGTCACATCTCTGGCTGTTTAATACACTTTTAAATCTTCATCTTTATGTCTTTCTAAGGGAGGGGAACACCAGTGTTGCTATGTGCTTGTCTTACTGTAAAAGGAGGTAAGAAAGCTTTTCAGTTTAAAATTTTTTATTTATCTAGCGGGATAAGAATGATGCAAATCAATTTCTGTCTTGTGCTTTATGGTGCCCAGCACACTGAGGCCTCTGAATATTCCTTCAGCACAAGCCACACATTGCAGACCAAAGCCATACAGCTTTGCTGGCAGAGAGCTCTTGGCATGCTGGAATCCTGGTCTACAGTGAGGAATCTGAAGGCTCCAGGATATGAACTTGACATTAATGACTATAAAACAAAATATGGAAATATTTCTCTTGGAGGATTCATTTATGGGGGTGAGGGCTGGGAACTGGGATTTATGGAGGTAACCCAGGCTCTGTCCCTTCCGTTAAGCCTGAGTGGCTCCTTTCCTTCATAGGTTTCAGCTGGGTACTGATGGGTGTGAGCAGCAGAGAGTGCAGAGGATTACCATTGCCATTTGAACCTGCCCAGGTGTAGTGCATCTTCTCTGTAACTCAGGACTGTGAGAGAGCAGATGGGAAGTACTCTTCTTTAGCTTCCCCTGTGAGCTTTGCATCTGGTCCTGCTTTTTCAACTGTGCCGTGGTTCCTAGGAGGGTGAAAGGTAAGTGAACAATCCTAACAGATACTGTAGAAGTTTGGTAGCTTTGTATCTCCTTGGCTTTCCTGTACTTTGTTGCTTGGTGTTTTATATCTGCAAAATTATCTGTTCCCTACATCTTCGCTTCCGTCGGTACCGCCACCTCAGCCCTGAGGAGCTGGTGCAGCTTCTGTAGCTGGGATTACCTGGTTTCTGTGGTGGTGTGGTTGGGCTCAGGGAAGGTTTTTTTTCTAGCAGGAGTAGGCAAAATTAACAAATAACTGTCCCACAGCAGCGTGCTCCAGCTGCTGTATCAAATGCTGTGGCATAGACTGAGTACTCATGGCTTTTATTCAACTGTTATGTGAAAAGTTGGTGCTGTTTGCACAATGTGCCAAAAAAATACCTCTCTCTGTTAGATGAGGAGGTGCTGGATGGAAGTGTGTGTCTCACTTCAGATTATTAACTAAACCATAATAGCACGTAATTAACCATTCAGAAGTAAGAGCTGCTCCAGTGTGATGCTTTTTCCCTTCCTTCTTTCCCCCTTAAGCTCTTCTCCCTATGACTGTTATCCCTATGGATTGCCTCCTGGCCAGGCATTCTGGCCATCTCATATCAGTGGGCAGGTTCCAGCCTAAGTGGTTTTGAAGAGCATTTGTGGCCTTGCCTTGAATTTAGCTGTTGAAGGTGAAATTTGATGGATTGGTCACTGTCCCTGCACAGAGGGCAGGTTGTGTGATACTGAGTGCTCATGAGGACAGTAAGTGGTTTTGCCCTTCGATAATGCTGCTGGTGCTCAAGCTGGAGTTTCTGGGAGTTACTCTGAGAATGCTGAAGGTATTTGGTGTGTGTTTCAGTATGTCAGTGTTCCCAGACCCTAGCTGCCTGCAAAGGGCAGCTGACCTTGAGACACTGAGTTCCCAAACTGCAGGTTCCCAGTCCCCTCTGCAGGGTGATGGCACCAGAGGCTGTGCTGGGCAGGAAAAATGTGCACCCCTCCATCAGTTCTGCTCCTTGTTGCAAGTGTGAATGTAAAGCAGCAGCCTCTGCTCTCCCTTTGGCTTCTACATGGGCCTCTCCTTTTGGCGTCGTTGAGAGAACAGCTGATGGGTTCAGGGCTGCAGTTTTGGGGAGCAGCCCGGCCTTAGAGCAGCAATTCATTCAGCCATCCCAGCCAAAGCAACTGTGGTCTTCCCTGCCATCAGTGGGCAGACTGCAAGGGCATGGGGCAAGAAGGGAAAAGGACTGGGAAGAGCAGGGACAGAAAAGGAAATTACCAGGGAGAGAGGATGTGGTACCCCAGCTGTGATACCGCACATGGGAGGGGAGATTTGATCACTCACCTCCCAGTATTGACACTGCTGTGCTGGTGAGCCTGGCACAAAAATCTCACATAACTAATGGGCAGTGGTGTACATGGAAGGAGATGGAGGGGATGTGGTGACACAGAAGATTAGCCCCACTGCCATGAGCTTTTCTCTGTTGGCATCTATCTCATGTTCTGCATTTTCTCACCCTTGCTTAGTTAAGGGCTATTAGTTCCCAAATAAATCCTCTGCACTGTTCATATTCTGTGTAGGAAAGCTGCAAAGAAATCCCATACCTGCAGAAAACAAAGTAGGAGATAACTATTTTTTTTAATTCCTCGGTGATTACTGAGCCACTGTTCCAGGAAAAAAAAAAAAATAGACGTCGTATCATGGGAAAAATGATCTTTCTTGTAGGATATAAAACTTTTGAGTCTGACCAGTGAAGGTCTCCTGACACTGATGCTAATCCTGCACAGGTTTGGCTGTGCAGTACTTACGTAAAACACGTGACAATTCCTTCTGTAGTTTCAGTAGAAATTTCTCGTTTCCTAAACAAGCGTGCTGTGTTCCTGCGTCCTGTTAAGCCTCTGCTGTGTGCTGCCCCAGCAGCCCTGCCTTAACAGCTCGGCTGGTTTGCTGGGTGGTTTGGAGCCTTTTGATGGAAGGTGCTATTTAATTATCAGCGGTGTTATGTTCCCGGAGCTCGCTACATGAAAGCAAAATACCGGCAGTCTGTAATTAATCTAAGCTAATGTGCCACTGTTTACACTCCATCTCCGAAACCAGGCAGATGTAAGAAGACACCCAGCCTTCATCTGGGATCCTCCCAGGTTATTTCTGAGCTATCTTTGGAGAACTGCAGCGAGTGTATCTACCCACCCCGCGAGTGCCTCAGAAATGAGTACCTTTAACTTTTCTCGGGAATGAGTGGGAGACTTTGTTTCCTAGCAGGGAGCAGGGTTAATGCCTTTTCGTTTGTGTTACCACAGCTGACTCTGGCTGGCATGGCACGGGAGCACATAACTCCTGCAGCAGTCATGAATTTTGCAGTGTGAAAGGGTCTGAGGTAATAAGCCCTGCTTCCTCCATCTCTTCCCTCACTTTGGTTGGGCAGGAGGCTGCTGGCAACAGGGATGTGTGGGATCTCTTTGGTGGGAAGACGAGTGATTCTCTGGGACTGCGGTCTTTAAAAATAAAATATCGTGCGTTCATTTCCGATCGCTCTGCTACAAATATTTAACAGAACAAGGTGATGAAAATGCCTAGAGGTGTGGAAAGACTGAAAAGATTATGTATCCTTCGTTAGAGTGAAGAGTAATAAAAAGCAATATGACAGAAGTATATAAACTTAGAAGTACAGAGAAGTAAACCAGGCATTCCTGTGTATACTTTTACATAATACAAGGTTTCCAATGAAATTGAAATAAAACATCTGACACATGTGAAACTTATTTTTTTTTTGTTACTGCACATAAATAATTGAGACTGAGAACACAGTAAAATACAGAAAGGATTAGATATATGGATAAAAATCTTACATGCAGTTTATTATTTTTATTCTAGCTGGTTTAGAAGGTTTGAGTCTTCCTGCTCCTGGACAGTCTTCCAGCTGCAGCTGGTTAAATGCTCTTCCTGGCCCCATAAAACTCTAATACCCTCCTTTGAAACATCTGACAGTGGACACTAGCTTAGAGGAGTGCCTAAGCCTTGCATTCCCGAATGTCTCTGCATTGAATGATTGCTATAAACCTGGCTGGGATCAGAGGTGACCACAGCTTTCTAATCACCTGAAGGCTGAGATGTAGAATATGAGGATGCTGTTGTTACCCTCACGGACTGTAGATTCAAGGTGACAGTTACCCATCTGTCAAACCACCATCCCAGGTGTCTGAACAACCTTTTTGAGAGTCATCCACTCCAGTGTTATGGTGGTTAGGTGACCTCTGCAGGTCTGAGCTGCAGCAGGAAATGTTACACCATCAGAGCCTGTGCGGCTCCATCCTCTTGGGGAACAATGCATTTTAGGTGTTTCATTGGCAATTTTTTTCAGCAATATGTTTCATTCAGTCCAAGTGAATTGTAAGCAGCTTAGTCACATGGGGAAAACTTCTGTTGGGTTTGACTTTTCCTTGTTATGACTTTGAGCTCTGATTGTTTTCAGTGGACACTGATTTATCCCCTTGGGAATAAATGCTGCTGCAGAGTAGAATCCTCCACAGCACACTGGGCACACTGTATGCTGGGGCATCCCAGGGATACCCAGGACAGGCTCCCTGCTTCTACAGCCCAGCATTTTGCTGGTTGATCAGAGTTAGCCTGCTAGCATTGCTGGCCTGGAGAGAATTAAAAATTGTAATATCCAGCAGAGGGTGCTCAAAAACAGATATCCCGAGTAATCGGGTACTGCTGTACCTCTGCACTCCAGTTCTCTGGCAGCTGAGCTCCAGTTTTTGGTGGCTGTGGCTGCACTGGCAGGCAGAGTGGGCCGGGAAGAGCGGACCTGGAGGGTGAACAGTTGGCGCTGAAGACATGGCACCCATGCACTAGCACTGTGGGGTGGGGGAGTGTTATTTTGGATGAGTTTTTGTCTGACCCCATGGTTGTGGAGGAGGAACATGAGGTATCCTCCTCAAGCACAGTCTACTGTGCACTTTCATCCAGACAGAATCCAAATTGCAAGCTCTAAGGCTGCTCAGAGTTGCAAACCACTGCATGGGTAGTGGGATGGGTGGGGGATTTGCTTCAGAAGTGAACCCCTATTTGATCTACAGTACCAGTGTTCTCATGGCTGTCTCTGAGCTGGTAGTGGTCAGGTTTGCTGTTGAGTCCCTGTCACTTCTGTCAAGCTGATCCTTTTTGCCATGCAGATGGGTGCAGAATACTTTGGCTGCTCTCTGTTCAAGGCAGTTTCTGGCCTCTGAGTTTTGAACTGAACTGAAATTCTCCAAGTGCACCTCAGTCAGTTTGATCAGATTTTTTTCTTGTCCAAACTGCAAGGTACAAAGCAAAACTGTAGCTTGGTCCCAACTGTGCTCAGAAAGGCCACAAACTTTTTGATGAACCTGGGATGAATTTTTGTGCCAAATCCCAGATCCAGGTGTATTTTTCATGTGTTTTTCAGACTGTGTGTTGTAAATGTCACATTGCTCCAAAATGGAGTCCCCAGAGCATGTGATCAGAGCACTGGGATTAGGAAAGAAGAGGAGGAATTTTCTTCAGGTAATTACAGGCAGCTGAGTTGCCTGTGGGGGAAAAAAATCCTGCTAATGCTCAGCACCTTTAGAGAATTTACTGTAGAGCAGGCATCACTTGAACTCCATGTCCAAGGGGGAAATACCTGTCTGGTCCATAACCCAAGGCACTCTTGGATTGAAGATCATAGGTCATGATTATATCAAATGCAAAGACTTCACTTCTTTCCTTACAAATCTCCCTTATTTTCCCTAATGCCTTTTCTACTGAAAATATCCCAGAATGTTTAATCAGCATACCTAATTAATAGCACCGTCTCATCTTTATAGTGCTCTCTTATATGGTTTTTTTCACCAGTATCTCTCAATGCATTTCACAGAAGAGATTCCTCTCATGATCTCCCTTTTGCACATGGGGTAACCAAGGGAGAGAAGGTGGAAGAGGCATGCTTAGGTTATGCAGCCAGCCAAAGGTGGGGTCAGCAATAAAATTCCAGGTTCTTAGTTCAGGGCTCTGCTG